ATGTTTGACTACCGCAGGGCCAGGAAGCAGCCCCCAGACGACGAGGACGTAGACGCAAATAATACGCTTAGCATGTTTCAAGCATTGTCTCGTGACGTGGACCCCTATAGATGTCTCGACCACGTCCTTAGGGCCTTCTTATTACCCCAGGCCGTTTTTATTGGCCGCGAAGCGGCCTCCGGAGGCCGAGCATCTCCTCCGACGCACGCGCGCACGAATCCGCGAGCTCCCGCGACACGGGGGCGGCCTCGCGTAGTGGGGGCCCAGTCGTGCACGCGGGTTGGGCACGCCACGCAGTGCGTCGCTACTGGACCCCCAGCGTCACGGCTTTTTGTTTGCCACTTCGTCGACCCCCCGAGAGGTCGCGACCCGTTCCCGGGGACCAGCTTTTCATCTTGGAGCCGCCTCATTCACCGCCCACAAAGCCGCCCCAACCCAACCCGAAGGCTTCAATTTGCCCTCCATTTCCAGTGGGGGGGTTCGGGGAACATGGAAAAACCACAACTGGAAACATCACCCCCCTCAACCCGAAATTCGGGTCTTCGGGTTGGGTTGGGGTGCTCTGGTAGGTCGTCACTCATGATGGCCACGGGTCCTGGTGATGGCATCTCGAGGCTGGAAATATCGAGCACGAAAGACGTTCCCGGCGAGGGCCCCTGGAGGCCGAGAGCAGCCTGCCAACAATGTCCGTTGTGCTCTGTTCCACGACGCGGGGAGGTCCAGTCTTGTGGGCCCGCCGAGCGGGCGGGCTCCCTCACTGACTCGACGCCCGAAGGATTTAACACAAAAAAACAATACCTTCTTTTACGACGCGAGGGGGCCTGGGCAGCAATGGCGTCTCCGGGGGCGCCCTGGATTGGATTGCCGCGTGTCCCCCCCGCCTTCCCGCCCCCCCGCCTTCGCCCTCCGCCCCAAGGCTCGCGGCGGGCGGCTGGGACGACTGGACGGTCGCTTGGGAGGGGTGGGGGGAGAGGGAGGGCTCGCCCAAGCCCTCAGGGGAGCTCCGGGTCGGGAGGAGGATCTGGGAGGAGAGGAATCGAAGAGGAGGAGGAGGATCGAAGAGGAGGAGGATCGAAGAGGAGGATCGAAGAGGAGGATCGAGAGGGCTCGCCCAGGCCCTCAGGGGAGGATCGACGAGGAGGAGGATCCGGGAGGAGAGGGATCGAGGGCTGCAGGCCGATGAGGAGAGGGCCGAGTGGCTGCGAGGAAGAGGAGGAAGAGGAAGGAGGAGGCGGAGGAGGAGGAGGAGGCGGAGGAGGAGGAGGAGCAGGAACAGCAGGAGTAGCAGAGGACGGAGCTCAGAAGGGGAGGACAAGGAGGAGGAGGAGGAGGAGGAGGCGGAAAAGGAGGATCGAGCCTCGGCGGGCCGAGGACTGAGCCCCCGAGGACAGAGGCCTTTGGGGTGCGCTGTTCCCTGTCGGGGGCCTCCGCGGAGGCCTTGTGGGCTCGCCACGGCGGCCGGGCCCGCCGCGAGTCTCTCTGGTCGGAAGGCACCCCTGCAGGTGGATCCGGGAGCGTCAGATCTGGGCGTTGCACAAAGATCGCGACATGTTCGATCGTGGCCCCCCTCCCGAAGGAGAACAACCTGCACAAACAGAAACTGTTGGAGCTCCGCGCGGACTTCTCTTGGATCCGCGCTGGGCACCCCCGGGCGGCGCCTCCGGAGCCGCCCATGGGTCCAGCGCAGGTCCAAGAACTCCGCGCGGAACGCCGAAAGTTTATGTTTGTGGCGTTGTTTGTTTTTAGACGTGTTCGATCGTGGCCCCCCTCATCCCGGCGCCCTGCATCTCTCGACTAGACGTAAGAGTCACCTTTCGCCGGAGTGACCTTTGGTGCGGGCACAGATGGGCCCTCAGACGGCTGAAAACGAAGCGGTAGCAGCGGCTTGCGCGCCCAGGTTTGGTCTCCCCGCGGCCCCCAAAAAGCTGCGCACCAAAGGTCACTCTTACCCATGGTCACTCTTGCGTGTAGCCGCATCTCATCATGGTTCTCCATTTGCAGTTGGCCCCGGCCTCTGCTGCTCGCACGCAGCCCGCACGTTTCCCTCGGCGGCACTCCGCGATGGTCTGCGCGATCTGTGCGGCTCGTTCTCCTCCTCGCTCTGTTCCTCGCCTCCTCCCCTTTCGTGCCCTGATCTGCTTTCGCGCGCCCCGCCTCTAGCCGGGCCAGCGCCGGACCGCCTCTCGCACCCGTGCGCCCGCGGATTTGACAGGTTGATGTGCTCAGCCTCCGGGGAGCCGTTTCCTGGGGAGGAGGAGCTGGCCCACGGGCAAGGGGTCAAGCTCCCCGAATGGGGCGGAGGCGGGGGAGCCGTGCACGAGCCGGCTCGAGGCTCGAGCATCCACTCGGTCGGAATGTGCTCGCCTCCCGTCGCCACGGCTGGGTGCCCCCCGTCGCCGCGGACCTTCACACCTCCTCCGACGCCGCGGATGCTGTTGGCGACGCGGGCCCCTGGATCGACCTCGACCCTTTCCCGCCAGGCCAGCTCCTCATCTCGAGCCGTCGGCACGAACGAAGTGGGTACGGAAAGAACGGGTACAATGCCCAACAGCGGCTCCTGCTCATCTTGAACAGGGCCCGCTGTCGGCGTCGCCGTGGCCTGTGTACGTTTGAGACAGAAGGCCGCCTGCCCAACAGCGGCCGCCGTTGGTTTGGGACAACATTTGTTGTTGGGCATTGCACCCGTTTTCTCCGTACTCACTTCGGGCGTCCACGAGCCGCTCCTTGGACGGCCCTGCGGCCGGGAAGCGGCCTCCGGAGACCGACGGCGTACGCCAACAAGGAAAATATCCGGCCGTCGCGACCTTCGCTGCGACGCCCGGATGGGCGAGGGTCCAGGAGGCGTCCCGTAGCCGCGGCCGCATCGGACCAGCCACAGGTTGGGGGGGAGCCGCGGTTCTCACCACAGCTGCGGGGCCCTTTTCATTTCCATGCACACACGACGACTCCGACAACAAGGCTGCCCCTCCCTCCCTCCCCTCTGACGCACCTACATGTTTTAATGTGTCTCGAATGCACGCTTGACCATACACCACAGCATCCTGGCGCCACGGCGCCACCGCTCCGTTCCCAGAGGGACCGCGCCCAGGCGCGCACGCGAGCGTCCGTCCGAGCCCTCTCCAGAGATCGTGGACACGATGGGCTCTCTCACGGGGTAAGGACCCCAGGCGCCACGAGTGGTTGGCAGAGAGGACCCCCGTGGAGGTCTCGGCCCATTTCCCCTGGGGCCGCGTTTTGTATCCCGGGTCGTGCTTCTACGGTTCCGGGGCCCGGCGAGGGCTCCCAGAGGCCGAAGCCAGCCAACAATTTTCCATCGCGTTGGTTTCGCACCGCGAGGGAGGAGGTCTGGGGTCTTGGCTGATCGGTGGATGCCCTCCGCAAGTTTGGTCAAAACTGTGTATGTATGTGTATATATATGTATATGTATATATATATATATATATATATGTGTTTATATATATAGTGACAATATATGTATAGATGCACACATATAACCCAGAACAGTCCTGGGACACGGCGCTCGCGCGCAGCCAGAGCGGCCAGGCGGTCGCCGATGGGGTGTCTGAGGGCGCGCGAACTGAGGCCTCAGACCTTCTCCCGTTGAGGGGAAGAGGAGCAGGAGGACGGGGAGGAGAAGGAGGAGGAGGAGGAGGAGGAGGAGGAGCAGGAGGAGGAGGAGAGGTGGCCTTCCCCTCCTTCTCTGTCTCTCGCTTTCTCCAGAAAGGGTGCTCTCCGTGTAGTCGTCTTGCCTCGGGGCGCGAGGCTGGTTCGGGGGCATGTGGGAGACTTGTTCAGCGGTTGCGAGACGAAGAGTCGAACACCCAGGTATCGAACGATGTTTTTCGTCAGTCCACATTTTTTTATGTTGGCCACTGAGCCCTGCTAGCCAGTGGGCCCCGGGACCAACATGAACCAGGGATACGAGAAACTATTCCCCGGGGAAGGGGTCGGCTCCTCGCACTGGAACAAAAACATCGCCAGACGTCTTGAACCCTGCCAGGTCCATCAGCGACTCCTCAAGTGGGCCCCTTTTTGCTTCTGGCGTCCCGAGGAGGAGGGGGAGGAGGAGGAGGAGGAGGAGGAGGAGGAGGAGGAGGAGGAGGAGGAGGAGGAGGAGGAGGAGGGAGGAGGAGTTGGACCCTGCCAGGTCCATCAGCGACTCCGCTCCTGGGCCCCCTTCTTTCTCTGCTGGCGTCTCGAGGCGACTCCGCAGGCGCAGTCTCGGCGGGCCTGCGCCCTACAGGGGTCTCGTCCCCAGCGCGGCGCGCGTCGCGGCGCAACGCGGGCCGCAGGGCCCTGCGTCGGAGGCCCGTGTGACACACCACCAGGGTGCTGCGAGGCAGAGTCGGGCCCGAGGCGCTGGGGCACGACGAAGGCATCGGCAGACCAAGCTGCGGGCGGGTGTGTGTGGGATGATTGCGCGGACCGTGGGGCTGTCAACCTCAGGTTCGGCAGGGCGAATTGCACCACGTAGGATGCACCACATAGTTTGCACCACACGCACTGCACAACATGGGTCGCACCATATAGATCACGCCACATCGATTGCACTGCATAGTTCGCACCATCATAAACATTTACGTTTGCACCACCTCGGTTACACCACATACATTGCAGCACATATATTGCACCATGTAGTTTAATTGATCCATAATTTGTTGCACCACAAAGGCGGGTGGATCGCGCATCACTGATCGCACAACATTAATCGCTCCACAGAGATTTCTCTACATAGGTTGCACCGCGTGTATTGCACCGCATATGTTGGACCACACACCACACATCTAGCACCACGTCAGCTTGTCTATCTATATGTCGCTCCACACATGCACTGTCATAATCAAGCGGGTTATTGCCCACTTTGGCTAACATGTGCTAGTATGTATACGCATACACGTGCACGGACATCGTTGCGTCACAGCGGGCAGGCCCAAGATTCAGGCCGAACAGAGCTGAACCTTTAGACTCCGCCAGCGTCCGGCGAAGGACAAGCGTAGGCTTTCGGAGGACCGCGCGAGTCTCTTGGGTTGGCGCGGGCCCCTCTAGGGGCCCTCTCGCGTCACAGCTGGCGCGACCCAGGCGCCAGGGAGGGGGCGCCCAGCGCCGATCCAAGAGCTCCGCGCGGACCTTCGAAGGTGTGTGTTCCTGCCGTGCAGCTGTCTGGGACCAGCCTCCTCCGCGCTCCCCTGGCCCCCCCACCGGGCCTCCCGAGGCCGTCGTCCGCGGTGGAGCTGACCGAGGCCGAGGTCCTCAGTGCGGCCGCGCCGGGGGACGAGGGCGGCGTCGCCCTCGGGGACGTGGTCCAGCTCTACTTCAGGCACTCGGGCAGTTCCAAGGGGGGGCCATCACTGCAGGCCTCGTCGAAGCGCTCAATTATTCGTGCTCCTGTCAGACGTTCTTCAATGCTGTGAGGGTACTGCCAGATTTCGCACACCCCTGCGTCTGGGAAGAGTACCTCATGCCTGCATTGAAGTAGCGCTGTCCGCGCAAGCACCGAACACAGAAACCGTCAATTTATGCTTGACGAGTCTTCTAGGGGGGTCACCAGCTTCTCCCGGAAATGGAGGTTCCAGGATCGAAGTTCGAAGAGGTGTTTGGACGTGTGGGGTCGTTTTGGACGGCTTCCGGGTGCTCCTCGGGGCACACTTCCACGGGGAGATGGCCCTTCTCCGAGGAAGCGGCGACCCTCACAGTGGTGACCCCCCCTTTGGCATTGCCGCAGGCACAAGGGCCTCCGGAGCCTGTGCACGCCCTGCGCAGTGGACTGGGGCGAGCTCGTGAGCCTGCGGGTGCTGTCGCTGTCGCACAACGAGCTGGCGGACATCCGCCCCGTCGCGGACCTGCCCGTGCTCGCCGACCTGAACGTGAACCACAACCGCATCTGCGACCTGTCGCCCGCGTTCCAGTGCGAGGGCCTGGAGGCGGGCACGGGCGGCGGGCATGTCCATGTCCCCGCCCTCGCGGTCTGGATTCTGGGGCGCGATCCCGTGGATACGCGGTCGCATGGACTCGCTCCGCGCGGGACATCCGAAAAACAAGCAGACCGCGTCCATGGGGTCGCGTCCCTGGAGCGTGGACATGGCTTCGGCTTAGCGCGCCGCTCCAGCGTTTCAGGCCCACCACGCTTCGGCAAGACACGCTATCCACATCCCCATTTCCAAGCGCCAGCGTCCCGAGCCTTTCCGAGCCTCCCGCCTCGCAGAGCGGAGCGATACCCTGTCAGCCTGCACGGCATACCGTGACGCCCAGCCCGCCGCCGCGACACGCTCAGCAAACGTTCCGGACCGGACGTTTCCCGCCCGCGAGGTGCTGCTGGCGGCGAACAACCGCGTTGCCTCGCTGGAGGGCCCGGGGCTGAAGGTTCTCCGAAGGCTGTCCCTCTTCTCCAACGAGCTGAGCGACCTGGACGCGCTGGTGCTGCATCTCGCCTCGCTGCCGGCGCTGCGGTCCCTGGACCTGGGCGGCAATCCGTGCTTCCAGGACTCGGAGAGAGAAAGGCATGTAGTCAACCTGCATAGTAGGGATGGGCAACCATCCCAAGGGTACTTTTTCATCCGTGCCTCCTCGGCCCATCCTTTGCGACCAAGCCCTTCACATGGGCCTCCAAAGCCCTTGCATCCTTACCGCCCATCCTTATGATACGGGTTGACTGTACATCAACGTGAGGGGCCGCGCGGTCTTGCTCCATCCCTGGATGCGTGGCCGAAGGGGGATTCCGCGACGCGGATGTTGGTTGTTGCTGTTTGTTGTTGCTTGTCGTCGTCGTCTCACCCGCGACCCAGCCCGCGACCCACCTCGCGACCCACCCGCGGTCCGCCCGCGACCCACACGCGACCCACGCCGCGACCCACTCCGCCACCCTGCGCCCACCCCCTCACTCTTGTCCGCAACTGCGGGGTGCCACGTAAACAAACTTCTGGAGGTCCACGCGGATTTCTTGGATCGATGGCGACGGAAAGCGCACCCTAACGCTCGCCTCTGGCCCCTCTCCCCCTTCTTGTGCTGGGCCAGAGAGCCTCGAGACCCGATTGTGAGGATGCCTCGCAAAAGCGCCACACACAGTAGACTTAAGTCGGGCCTGTCCCTCTACAGGAGGAATACTCAAAAATAGTGAAAATACACTGGGGACGAATTGTTCCATATTTCTGGGCATGTTTGGAGCATTTTCAAATTATTTTTTATTTCTGTCCGCCAAAATCCCCCTGTAGGGGGACATGCCCGACCTAACAGTAGACCCCGGCCTCACCTGGGGTGTTGGGTCTAGGTGGGGATAGAGGTGCTCTCCTGCTCCCCTTTGACCAGCGCTGGGCCCCTCCTGAGGGCGCCTTCAGCGCCGACCGCGCGTTCGGGAGGGGGGGAGGCCAGCGCCGACGTGAGAAGTCCTCACGCACTTCCAACCCGCTTGTTTTTCGATGAGTTCCTAAAGTATCGGGGTTGGACAGACCTCCTACCCTGACACGTCGATTAGCGAATTGGCCGTTTTCGGTTCGCAGGAGGGCGTCGCGGCCGTCATTTTTGCGGGTCCAGGTCCGTCGGTTTCGGTCAGAGGCCGTTTTCACTAAGGGGAGGTTTACTAAAGGGAGGTTTGTCCACCGCCGATCTTATGATTTCCTAAGAAGTAGGAGTTCTTACCGCATGGCCGTTTTGCCACACGGAAGGGAACACGGTTCTGGGGCATGGCAGCGAGGCGTTCACGAGCGGAGTTGAGTGCAAAGTTTGTGAGTTGTTTCGTTGGCAAGCGAGTCCAAACCTCGTGAAGCGGTCCTCCAAGCTAGCTACCTGACGACCCTGTTCGCCAGGACGAAGAGGAGGGGGGAAAGGAGGAGAGGGAGAAGGAGGAGGAGGAGGAGGAGGAGGAGAAAGATGAGGAGGAAGTTGAGGAGGATTCGTATCATGTATTTGCTGTACCCAGACACGCGACGTCTTGATTTGTTCAGGACGGCGTCCCCGGAAGTCCAGACCCTGTCCCCAGGGCCGGATTTTCATCTTGAGTCGTTTTTTGACGGTCCCGGGGCCCGGCGAGGGCCCCCAGGGGCCGAAAATACAGAATCAAATGCCGTCCAGATTTTTGTACGACGCGATCATGTCTGCTCTACGTGGCTCTGTTTTTTGCACAGGACGCCTCGCAGCGCTACGGCCTGGTGCGCGCCGTGCCGCAGCTCGCGGAGCTCGACGGGGAGCGCCTGGGTGCCGTCGACCGCCAGCTCGCGAGCGAGTTCTTCGAGTGCGCTCAGGAGGTCGGCTTCCAGGAGCAGTTCGGATCCAAATGGTGGAGGAGGAATTCAGAGGAGGAGAAGGACGAGAAGGAGGCGTTAAAGGACGAAGAGGACGAAGAGGAGGAGGAGGAGGAGGAGAAGGAGGAGGAGGCGGAGGAGGCCGAGGAGGAGGAGGTCGGCTGCAAGGACCGTGTCGGATCCGAACGAGACCCCAGGCATCTGGCGTCGCGCACACATCGAGATTATGTTGCTGTTCTGTTCTCAATCATCCTGTGGTGTTGGGTCTTCGTTTCGATGAGACAGCGCCCCGCGTTCTCCTCTTCCTCCTCCCGCCTCCTTCCTCCACCTCTTCCCTCCTCCCATCATCATCATCATCATCACCATCACCATCATCATCACCATCATCATCATCAGCAGCATCAGCATCAGCATCAGCGTCATCGTCATCGCCATCGTCGTGCCATCATCAGCAGCAGCATCATCCAGTTCATCACCATCATCATCATCATCAGCATCATCATCATCAGCATCAACATCAGCATCCCCGTCCTCATTATCATCATCAACAAAAGCAGCAGCATCAGCATCATCATCATGACCATCATCGTCATCATCATCATCATCAGCGTCATCATCATCATCAGCATCACCATCACCATCATCATCATCATCACCATCATCATCATCATCATCATCATCATCATCATCATCATCATCATCGCCATCATCATCATCATCCTCCTCCTCCTTCTCCTCCTCCTCCCCCTCCATCATCATCATCATCATCATGGTCATCATCATCATCGTCATCATCATCATCATCATCATCATCATCATCATCATCATCATCATCATCATCATCATCATCCGTTTCGTCACACCCCTCACACGTTTTGCGGCCCCATAGGGAGCTCCACCGAAGTCCCCAATGGCAGGGTTCGCATGGTGGCGCCGTCCCATTGTGGAACACCCCTCGCACGTGTCGTGGCCCCATAGAGAGCTCCACCAAAGGCTCCAATGGCAGGGTTCGCATGGCGGCGCCGCTCCATTTTGTCACACACACCCCACACGCTTCGTGGTGCCATAGGGAGCTCCAACGAAGGTCCCAGTGGCAGGGTTTTCATGGCGGCGCCGCCCTATTTTGGCACATTCCTCGCACGATTCGTGGCCCCATGGGGAGCTCCACCGAAGGTCCCAGCGGCAGGGTTCGCATGGTGGCGCCGCCCCATTTTGGCACACCCTTCACACGTTCTGTGGCCCCATAGGGAGCTCCAACGAAGGCCCCAATGGCAGGGTTCGCATGGCGGCGCCGCTCCATTTTGGCACACCCCTCACACGTTCCGTGGTCCCTTGGGGAGCTCCACCGAAGTCCCAAATGGCAGGGTTCGCATGGCGGCGCCGCTCCATTTTGGCACACACACACACACACACCTCACACGATTCGTGGCCACATGGGGAGCTGCACCGAAGGTCCCAGTGGCAGGGTTCGCATGGCGGCGCCGCCCCATTTTGGCACAACCCTGACACGATTCGTGGCCCCATGGGGTGCTCCACCGGAGGCCCTAATGGCAGGCTTCGCATGGCGGCGCCGCCCCATTTTGGCACATCTGTCACACGATTCGCGGTCCCATAGGGAACTCCACCGAAGGCCCCAGTTGCAGGGTTCGCATGGTGGCGCCGTCCCATTGTGGAACACCCCTCGCACGTGTCGTGGCACCATAGGTTGCTCCACCGAAGACGACACTCACGACTGCGGTACTCACAGCTGCATGTGGTTGGGTCCTTCGCAACCTAATTTTCTTAGTTGTCGGGCTCTTGGGGCCTTTACCAAGCCTCGGCACCGTCAAGAAACTGTTCGGGATGGGAACCAGTGCTGGGGGACTGGTCGCCAGGAACCCGTGTCTCGAAGAAACCGGGACGCAGGTTGTCTGCGGAGGTGGGGCTGTGTGTTTCCAGGACCGCTAGAGAATAGTAAACCTGATCGGTAGGTGTATAAGTCTGGAGGGCCTCTGGGACCCGTCGGTGGGTCCAGGGATTACAGCCAAGACGCTGAAATAAGGAGCAGTTTGGGTTTGGAAGGGGCTCGATGATCCTCAAGCTCCTCCAGTGCTGTTCCTCTTGCCCTCCTGGGGCACGGAGGCGCTTACAGGGCCGAGAAGGGGCTTCGTTCCTCATTTGGCGTTCCTTCTTTCAGCGGCCCGACTGTATGAAGCAACATGGCCCGGGACGAAGCACTGCGCGCGGGGAAAGGGGTGGGGCCTCAAGCCGCGATTTCCAGAGCGCCAGCAAGAGGATAGCCCTCCAGACCAGACCAGACCAGGAAGCCGTGTGCACGTGACGCGGCCGGCCTGGGCGCGAGCCGGATGCACCTGTGGCCAGATTTACCAGCCTGGAACATATCCTGATCCCTATGCTGGGCACCTCCTCATCACGATGCCAGTCTTAGGGGTTCCCTTCGTTTTTGCAGGCGGATCCCTAAGATTGTCATCGCCTTGTGGCGTGTCAATCTTAGGGATAGGGATACGTTCGAGGCTGGTAACAGATGTCTTTCTTCCCAGCGCTCGGCCCTTTTCTGTGGCCAGGCGCGCAGGGCTTCCGCCTGTGGTGCCCGGCGCGTGGCCTCCCGATGATGTCCCGCGAGGGAGCGCAGCCGCGTCCGGGAGGGGAAAGAGGACGCAGGCACAAGGAATTGTCGATTCCCCCGAAAATGTTGGGAAATACGGACTAGGGAAACAATGACTGAACACTCCCCCTCCCCCCCAACCTCACTGTTGGCACGCGCGGGGGAGACTGCGGCCGAAGTGCACCTCATCAGACCCACCGCCAACTTTGAACATTTGGGGGAGGGGGAGCCGTTGACACATGAATGCCGTTGACACATGAATGTGGCATGACTGTTCGCTAATTTGTTCCGAGGCCTGTACGGGGGATCCTGTGAGTTGTGTCTATTTGTTTGTGTGTCCCAGGGCCCCTTCACACGTGTGTTTCCACACGCCCCTGGCGCACTCTGGGCGGTGGGGGGGCACGACATCTGCTGCGCGCAGCTGGCTTCGGCCCGCCACGGGGCGCTCCGAATCCCTCGATGCATGGGCGATGGGTGAAGGCAACGTCTTTCCCTCAGCCAATTTGGCAGAAATTTGTGACGGCAACGTGGAATAGCAGGCGCCGGCGGGCGCGTGGGACGGCAGCCGCGTGGGCTGCTTCCCCAGACCCCCGACGTCATGATTTGTTGACAACGCCGGCCCACAGCTGTCTCGACCCGCTCCCCGGGAGCCGCGTTGCATCCTGAGTCTTCCCTTGTGGCCGGCCCCCGGGGCCCGACGAGGGGCCTTCGGAGGCCGAGGAGCACAAGCAGCCTTCCGTCGCGGTCTTGTCCAGGGCGCCCTCGAGGGCGCGAAGTTCTTCGCGCTTCGCGCTTCGGCTCCGATTCCTCCTCGTCCTCCTCTTCTCCCCCGGGAGGCGGCGCGAGAGCGCGAAGTTGTTTGCACTTCGCGGTTCGCGCAGCGCGAGGCGCGAAGTGAGGAGCCTTTGTTTGGTTCACGGCTCGCGAGGGGGTCTGGGTTCTCCCCCTTCCCTTGGCAGCAGGTCATGGGAGCCTCGCATGCTCTTGATGCCTTCTGTAGCGTCCCGTGGCGCCGACTGGAGTCTGGGGGTCGATGAGAGCCAGCGCCGATGTTGTGCCGGCTAGCGTCGAGTATAGCGTCGGTCTAGCGTCGGTTAGCTTCGATTCAGCATCGATTTGGCGTCCATGTAGCGTCGATTTAGCGTGGATTCGCAAGAACCGACAGGATGGTACTGGAGGCTCCCATGAGTTGCCACGGACCCTTCACAGCCCCTTCCTCCTTCCCTGGCGGAGGAAGCACGGCAGAGTACAGTCGGCCCAGATTAGTAGGTCGACCCCGCCAAATCAAGGGTACCCTTGTGTCCTGTGTCTTGCGACCCATGCCTCCTGCATTTTTGTGGCAACGTGGCCCTCGGAAGGGTCTTGTGTCCTCCCGCGTGTCCTCTCCAGTCAAGTCCGACTGTATGTAAACCTGTCCGCCGTCGGGGCCGCCCGTCCCCTGGGGGGGCCGGGGATTGGAAACTCCTTACGTCTACTCTGCGCGGGCCACTGCTCGGGGGCGGCCAAGAGGGGGGGGGGATGACAAGAGTTAAGTCGGGCCTGACGGGGGATGATTATTTCTTGAGCATTGTGGGGGTATTTTTAAATTTTCGTAGGACATGCCCGACCAAGGAATCCGCCTGCAGGAGGACATGCCCGACCGAAGACAAGGGGGACCGTGGACATCTTGGCGGGGGCCATGCTGTCCCCCCGATCTCATGGCGCCGCATGTCGCTGCGTCCCCAGCCCCCCCCCCGTTGGCCGCGCACATGCCGCTGGCCATGATTTGCTCAGGAGGGGAAAAAACACGCAGACACAATTAATCGGCGATCCCCAGGAAAATATGGGAAACTATGGGAAGTGGGGGGGATGGCAAAAACCAAGAAAAGATAGGAAAATATGTGGATTGTATTGTATTAGTGTGTATTTATGTGTGTGTCCCAGGGCCCCTTTATTTGCGCCCCCCCTCTTTTGGACGCCACCCTCTGAGATGCCCCCGAACCGCGTATGGTTAGATAAAAGTCGGCGGCGAGCGGGGGGGGCGGACCTTCTCAGAAGGCTCGGAAGTCCCCCGGGATTCCGAGAAGTTTCCTGAGCTTTCCCCGAAGACACGGAAGACTCCTCAGAAGGCGCGAGGGCTTCACCCAAGTCTTGCCGCCTTCTGAGCAGGCCGTCTCCTTTCTCACTACTCCCCCTCGCTTGCCGCCGAATAAACTGATCCAGCCGCTTGGGTGCCAGCACCCCGGATGGCGGAACAGCTTTTCCGCAATAGCGTTTCGCGAGAATGCTTTCATAGTATCAAAAGGGAACACGCAGACACAAATCCTCGCCGATTCCATGTAAATAGTTGGCCAGATGGGATGTGGAGGGGAAGATGAGAATCCCAAAAAATCTTAAATGCAAAAAAGGGAATCCTTGGATTTGTGTGTGTGTGTGTTTACTTGTGTGCCCCTGGGCCCCTTCATAGCATCATAGCAGCAAGAAAAGGACCACGGACGAGTCCCACGAGGGGGCCGGGGAGCCCCAGACCTCCCGGTCGGGCAGCGGTCCATCAGCCGTTCCGCCCGAGATTTCCATGCAGTTTGCTCAGGTGTCGTGCTCTCGCCCTCAGTGCCAGCTGCGAGTGTGACCCGGACGGCCACGCCCCCTCGTGCAGCATACATTTGTGTCGGGCATGTCCTCCTGTAGGCGGATCTTGGACGAATCATGAAGAGTAGTCAAACCTATTCCCAAATGCCCGAACATATCGAGAAACGTCCATTCCTCCTGCAGAGGGACACGCCCAACTTAAGAGTACACCGAGGTGCGCACGGCATGTGCGCTCACACCCTTGTCCAGGTGCAGCTCCTCTTTCGCAGGGTTTTCCGGGCCGTGCCGCGACCTCCTGCGCCCTGGGCCCGCACCCTGGGCTGCTGCTCCTGCCCCTGCTCCCTATAGTGCTCGACCTGGCCGCGCTTCCCCTGCGCCTGAGCTGCCCGAGTGGGCGGCGGATCGCTTACGTTGGCCTGTCTCAGATGTTCGGCCGCCGATCGCAGCACGGTGCTCTGCTGGGGCCACTTGTGTTACACCGCCCCTCGTCTGCCACTTCTCGCCCCGCCCCGGCAGGAGCGCCCCCTCACGGCGCAGAGGCCGAAGACGTCGCCGCCGGCGCTGGCGCCCCAGGCTCAGGAGAGAAAAAGAACCGTTAAGACAAATGAGTATGGACTCCGAAGAGCAATCACGCAAGATTGGACATGGACAGGCACGAGCAAAAACACAGGAAATGCCAGCCAATAGGGGGAAGCCTGGAACGTGTGTGTTGTCGACCTCTCCGTGCCTCCCTCTGGGCCCCCCTCGCAGGCGCCTGCCGCGGCGGGCGCGGCCGGCGCCTTCCCCGGCCTCACGGCCCTGCCCGTGTGGCGCCCGGACGGCTCTCCCGCGACCACGGGGTCCAGCGCGCCGCCGGCCTCGCCGCGGAGGTCGCCCGAGCTGGAGCCGCGCGGCCCGGCCGCGGGGGCCACGGGGGCCCGGCTGCGGGCCCTGCGACCCTGACAGGGCGATGCGGCTCGAGAGCTGCAGCAGCAGGGCGGGGCCTCCAGTCTCGGGTCGTGCTCTTTCGCGGGGCCGTCTCTTGTCGCAACGTCCGCGCACACAGTGGACATCGTGTGGTGGCGGCCGTTCCTGGGCCAACGAGGGGCGGGGGGGCTGGCTCAGTGTGGGGAGCATCTGCGACCGGTGGCGAACCCTACGCCCTGCGGGTCCAATCGGCGGCACAGTGGAAACACATGCCAAGAGATACCCTGCTTGCCTCCAGGGTGCCCTGGGTCTGGGTTTCTTGGGTGTCGATGGGCTTGCTGCGGAAATCGCCACGCTCCCGAACCCAAATTCAATGGACGTCCTGGGGTCTCAGGGTTGGGTTTCTTGTGGGAGGTTTCTTGTGGTCCAGCCCCCACTGCAGGGTTCAGCTCCCTGGACTGCAGGCACCCTCACAGAATCCTGAACCGCAACCGGCCACTCGGAAGGGCCTGACCTGCCGGAGCAGGGTGCACATGTGGCTGCCCAGAGCATCGACCCCCAAGCGCCCATTCCTCCTCCTCCTCCTCCTCCGCCTCCTCCTCCTCCTCCTCCTTCTCCGCCTCCTTCTCCTCCTCCTCCTCCTCCTCTTCCTCCTCCTCCTCCTCCTCTCCCGCCTCCGCCTCCGCCTCTGCCTGATCTGTCGGCGATTCTGGCTCACGCCGCACCGCCGAGCCCTCCAGGCGAGCCGCTCCGTGGGGCCGCCTCGCGGAGGCCGCGTGCCCCGCCTGGGGGTCCTCTGGGGCCCTCCCTGCGGCGTTCTGGGGCCGTCTGAGGACCCACTGGTCAAGCAGTGGCGAAACGCCCTGGCGTGCCTATAGGCCTACCAAAGAGTGTTCTAAGAACGATTGTGTGGTTTCCACGACATGTTCTTGGAACATTTCTTTCTGGGACTGGCTCGTTTTATCACATCGGGTTAATGTTCTAAGAACATGGTTTGTGTTATTAGAAAATCTGTGGCTTCTAAGAACATGTCGTGGTAGGCCTATAGGAATGCCGGCACGGGCGGTCCCTGCTCAAGCTGGGCCCTCGGGGCCGTCCGCCAGCGACAGGCGCCCGAAGTTTTGACGAGAGTCTGGCCGCCGCGTGGTCAGACCGCACGTCGTATCCAACTCGGGTTACGCGCACCAGTCGCCAGCAGAAGTTGAGTGGCAAGCCTCGGGTCGGGCGAAAGGGGGGGTTTGGGAAAGGGGGGGGTACGAAATCTGCTGCATGTAGCTGGTTTCGGCCCCGCCGCCGGGCCCATTCCTCGATACATGGGCGCCTTGTGGCGCCGGGCGACGCCGGGAAAATCAGCTACGTGAGCTGATTCTCACCCCCCCCCTTTGCTATCCCCCTCTTTCGCCCGACCCGCAAGCCGCGCAGCTTGCCCAGGGAGCTAAGAGGACGATCGGAGGCACTGCAGCTCTGCGACGGAGGGACGTCTTGGAAGGGAGAAGCAGGTGAAGCAGGTGCACGCAGTGTGTGGAGGAATGGCGGAAGCGGCGGCGGGAACTCTGAGGCACAACGCGCGTTGTATGTATGTTTGTATGTTTGTATGTTTGTATGTTTGTATGTATGTATGTATGTATGTATGTCTATATGATGATGCTGGTGTTGGTGGATAGTGATGGTCATGAGGATGATGATGCTGATGATGCTGATGATAGTGCAAATGGCGATGATGATGCCGATGATGATGATGATGATGATGATGATGATGATGATGATGATGATGATGCTGATGATGATGTAATGATGATGGTGCTGATGATGATAATCATGATGATACTGGTGACCATGCTAATGATGATGACGATGATGATGATGATCATGGTGATGCTGGTGATGATGATGATGATGATGATGATGATGATGATGATGATGATGATGATGATGATGATGATGATGATACTGATGATACTGATGATGATAATGATGATGATGATGCTGCTGATGATGATGATGCTTATGATGATGACCTTTGGCCATCCCGCCACCGTGCCTGGGTTGTGGGTCATAAGCCTCTGGGATGTTCGTTGGGATGTCGCGGGGGGGGGCTTTCGGGGGCCGTTCTGCGGCGTCTTGGGAGCCGCTGTGGGTCCTCTTGAGTCTTCTTGACTGCCTCGTGGGGGTCTCTTCGGGCCTCTTGGGGGCCTCTTGGCGCCTCCTTGGGGCCTCCTTGGGGCCTCCTCGGGGCCTCTTGTGGCCAGAAGGCTCGGATTTTCCGTTCGTGCTCCCCCTCTTGGGTCTTTCTTGGGGCTGTCTTTGGGTCCTCTTAGGCGATAACGGGGTGCCTCTGGGGACGTCTTGGCTTGGCGCCCTCTTGCGCCGTCGAGGGGCCCTCGTGGGGGGCTTCCTGGGCCGTCTTGGGGCGGCCTCTTGGGGGCCTCGTGGTGCTTCCTGGGGAAGCTCACTCTGTCACGCGCCGAGAAAGGCCCCGAGGGAGGTCGGTGCGTTCCCGGTCTTGGCTCCCCGCCCTCTCCTGGCCCCCCCGTCTCTCCCAGGAGCCTCCCCAGCTGCCTGACGAGGACGGGGGCGACCCCGCGGAGAGCGTGGCGAGGCTCACCCGCGTCGTGGAGGCCTACCGCCTCCGCCTGCACACCATCCAGGCGTGCGGGGCTTCCCTTGTCTGGCGAGAAGCAGGCAGTCCACTTTGGGCTCACGACCCAGCCCCCCCCGCGTCGTGACAGAAAAAACAAGACGGAAGGCTATGTGTTATATGTCGTTGTATTTTCTCAGGGAGCCCTCGCCGGGACCGGGGACCGTCGGATGTTGTGAAACAAGTTCTGGCGTCGTGGGAAGGGCTGGGGCTTGCGGGCCGCTCCGCGGATCTCGGTTGAGGAGCCTCGTCATGGCCGAGTGTCGCCGTGGCAAAAGTAGCCCCGCTCGTCCCTGCCACTCAGCATGCCTCATGGTGTCGCGATGGCTGTAGCACTCTAGGCCTCCTAGATCGGGTCCGGGTAGATGGGGCCGAAGGATCGCGCCACATCGCCGATGCATCGGCGATGCAGCTCGATGCGGGGCCCGATGTTCTCCATGCCGGCGTCGCCGATGCAGCGCTGACGTCGCTAATGCATCATCGATGCATCGCCGATGCATGGGGGATGCGGCGCGCTCCTCCGACCCCATCTACCCGGACGCAATCTAG